TTGGGGTCTATGCTGGGTTCCTGAAAGTGCTTTGCTTGGAGCTCAGACCCGGCCTGAGGTGCTGACACTGACTGAGCCGGCTTTGTGCCAAGAGGGTCCCAGGTGTGCTCCTGAGGGGTTGTTCTACACCAGATGAAGGCAGATGGATGAACTAAAGTGTGAAGAGAGCCAGAGGCTGGAGAGCCAAGTCTTTACCGTGGTTAAGCACCAAGGCTGGACCCAGAGGGACACTGAGGGTACAATCACAATAACCATGGGACCAGGAAGTAGCTCACTCACTGGGGAGATTCAAGAGAGAGTTGTTGGAATTCTTAGACCTCACATTCTCATGACATTCATGACTTTTGAGTTACAGTGACTAAACTACCCAACAAAACCAACTTATTGGAGGAGAGACTTATTTTGGCTCACAGTCCAGAGTGTCTCAGTCCATCATGGCGGGAAAGCCACGACAGAGTGCATGGTACAGTGTGCTTGTGGGAGATGCATCTTACATGGGGGCAGCAACCAGGGCCTTAGCTGTGCTCTCAAAGACCCACCCCTACTAACCCATGTTGACTAACTCACCCCCGTCTCTAAACGGTCCCATCTGGGGAGCCAGCGGTGAAGACACGAGCCTGTCTGAGACACTTTCATTCAAACGTTAACACCTTTGAATGTTGAAGTGGGGTTATTGGAAGGCAGTCAAGATTAAATGATAGCATTGGGGTAGGACCCCAGGACAGGACTGGTGGTAGCTTTATGAAGCAGGAGAGAGACATGAGCCAACACACGCTTGCTTGCGTTGTGGTGCTATGCCCCATGCCAGTGCTAAGATGGAGCCCTTTCACCAAATTGAGATGCCATGCTCTTGGACTCCGTGGCCTCCAGGACTCTGAGCCAAGGAAACCTGCATTATTATTTCTTTTTGTAGCTTATTGGGATTTGAAAGACAAGACAACAGTGGAGACAAACTGGAGAACTCAGAAGGCGCCAACTGGAGAACTCAGAAGGCGCCAGGAGGAGGAAGATGGAGAATGGGAGAAAAGTCAGAATTGGAGCGCGCAGGCAGGCTCAGCAATAGAAATACGGAAGCAGCTGCATGGGAGTGGAGGGTAAGCGAGGTGGGTAAGGGGAGAGCCAGTGTGCCCTGGGTGTTAGGGCAAATTCGATGAGAGTTTCAGCCAACATTTGGAGAAAGAAGATGGAAGGTGGGGGAAAGGGCCAAACTTTTGGAGCTAGGATTCAGAAAGTGGGCACGTTTGCCAGTGAATCTGCAGGCAACCACTAGCCTCTGTTCTTTGTCAATCACCTAGCTGCTGGTATCTTGTTATAGTAACTGAAAACAGACCAAGATGTGTGGCTTTCAGCCACTGGGCTGGGTGATGGATCCTAACCGCTCAGTGAGATCACAATGAGAAAAGCCGTCCCAGCTAGGGCTGGATTGAAGGCGGGAAGTGTTCTTCCTTTTCCCAGTCCTACTTATCTGGAACGATCCCACTTGCAGGTCCCTGCATGCTGGGAAGTCAGAAGATGGGCTATGTATATAGAGGAAGTCCAAGACAGGTACGCTATCAAACCAGGTAAGGCAGTCACCACCCCAAAGAGCTACCCCTGGGTCTCTGGGGACCAACCACACATCATTTGGCAAGGCAGGAGGAGATCTGCTAAGACCCTATTCAGCAAGGACACAGGTGGGCACAGGTGCCCACAGGTGTGCTCTGAGCAGCAGCCCTTGAGCTCTCCAGCATGCAGTGGAGGATGCAGGGGCCTGGGAGCTGCTCAGCCCCCCTGGGATGCTAGACCCACAGCCACAGAGCTCAGGTCAAAGGGAAAACCCCGAACCAACTCACAGAAAGGGTGGAGCCCAGATGAGTTCTCACCTGGTTCCAGGTGTGTGTTTACGGAGGGTCTGGTTCTTTTGGCCTCCTGGGCACTGGATGAGCCAAAAGAGCTCACCTCAGTGCCACCAAGGACCTAACTCTTGATAGACCCACTGTAAAGGAAGATGAGCCAGACCCAGTGCAGGTACCATGCCTCTTGGGACTGGGGTCCCCTACCACAGAGGTAAGGGTTTCTGTGTGGCATTTGTGGGAGCTTGGCAGGATCATGGAATGGGTTTTGGCCACCCAGTCCTGGCAGAAGAGGCTTCTTCACTAGCTGAGAAGGGCCTGTCTCCTATGTCACAGTTTCCCCTGAAGGTTACTAAGCCTATTCCATAGAATTATTCCCAAGATAAGGTAAGGTCAGCTGTACAGGAACAGCAAGGGCTGTTCTCTCCCTCACTGCAGCGGGGCCCTGGCTTCATGGCTCCCTGTCTAAACACATGGTCATGAACAACAGTACCTTTGTGCTGGGAGTTTGCCAGGTCAGGCTGACCATGTGAGAATTTGTTGTGGTCAGTTACACCTTACCAGTGGCCTTCCCAAAGGGCAGCCGTTGTGTGACTGGAGTACAGGTTTCCTCCACCTCGGGGGAAACACAGCCATGATGTGAATTGGGCTCAAGTAACTGTCAAGCTGTGGCCTGTCTCACTCCATTACTGCCTCGGTTGACCTTGAAAAAAAGTAAATCTCATTCCCCTGGGGCAGGAGAAGGCTGACCATTGGGTGGTCCAGACTCTTGTAACTTTAGAGCCGTTATCCCTGTGAGAGACTTCTTGGCTGCTGGGAGAGAATGATGGAGGGAGGCATGGCATCTTTGGCCTGGACGCTTGCAGCCAGCCTTTCCAGAGTGTTGCCCCTAGCAGCTCTTCTTTCTTCTTACTCCACTCTAGGAAAACACGCTGGCTCTGCAGCCTTTGGTGACACAAAGATTACTGAGAATTTAACCAAGGCTCGAACACATGTTCCTCCTGGCCAGTGTCCGCAGAAACTGAAACATGTTTCCCAGGGCTGTGAGACTAGTAGAGGCTTTCCAGTTTCCACAGTTGCAACGCTGAGTACCCACAAATACAAGGCAAGGACCCCCTTCTCCCTCGGGGCCTTCCCCGAAATCGCCACAGCAACACACCATTTCCTCCCAATCATCCGAGGTGAATGAAAAACAAAAAAGACAAAGATGCCAGCCCAAAGGTAGGGTGTTTTCTGAGCTGGCCAGCCACAGAACCCTTGGCCCCTGGGCTCCCAGCAAACATGGCCTGAGCGTCACAGCTCCCTGTCTCCTGGGTGGTTGGCTTTACGTCCACACCCTGAATCCAGGCTCCATCCCCACACAAGACTTCAGACTCTAGAAACATGGAAAGGGCTTCAAGTTTTTTCACGGTTCCCCTCTTTTTGTCCGTTGCCTGCCTCATGCCCCAGGCCTGTCTGGTACCTACAAGACATTTGTTGACTTAGGTATAGCAACGAGGCAAAAAGGGTGAATCTCTGTTTTTGAAGGTAATCTTCCCTGGGCTGCTTTTGAGACAGGGTCCTGCTACAGCCCATCACGTTAAGGACCACCAAGGCTGGTGTGGACTTGGAAAGCTTCCCTTGGGGAGGCTGTAGGCTGGACCTGACTGACAGGAGGACTTCAAGAGTCAAGTGTACTTTGAGGACCCCATGCTGGGAAAGCCCAAGGCCAGGCCCTAGCAATACACAGTGGCCTGGGCAATGCAGAACACCGTGTGCCAAGTGAGAAGCAGGTGGACTCTTCACACACACACACACACACACACACACACACACACACACACACACACGTCCCCAAACCCTGCCAATGCTGGGCTTGGGTGCAGCTTCAAGAGCAGACTGGAAGCTTGTTCTTGGCACCAAAGGGAGTTGGGGGCTGGTATTTCTGAGGGGGAGGAGAAATTGCAAGGAAAGAAGAAACCCTGAGGCGACAGATAGTGGGACAGCTGTGGACGGAACTTAATGTCCCTGCTCTTCGGTGTCGATGTATTAATTTCCATAAATGCTAATAGTCCATCTCTCCAAGAGCTATTACTTATGTCATCTCCCTTTGGATGTGGTTCAACACGGGGCAGACAAATGGAACGGAACAAGAGGCAAATCCCCACTGGTGGGTCCCTGGCTCCTGACCCTCTTCCAAGTCTGGTTTCTGAATGTGGACCCCACACCTTTGGGGTCCAGACCACCTGCCTATCCGACATGTCCCTTTCACACCAGTCAGCAAAGAAAGTTACCAACTCCAAAAATGCTGAATCACAAAGTGAGACTGAGCACCAAGCGGGGGATGGGTGAGAAGGGAGATGGTGGCCCATCAGTGGGCAGCGAAGGGTGAGAGCACCTCAGGGTGCTCCAGGCATGCCGCAGGAGACCCCAGGACTAAGGCCAGGAGAAGCAAGCAGGGTATGCCAGGTGGGAGGGAGGGCAGGTGGGCAGGTACAGCCTGCTGCAGATACTGCAGCAGGCAGCAGTGCAGCAGTGGAGCTCCGCATCCTGCAGCAGCAGCAGCAGCAGCAGCAGGTAGGGAGGCTGGGAAGTGCTTGATGACACCGCCTGGGCACAGCGGGAGCAGCTGAGGGTGAGGGTACAGGTCTGGAGACAGGGTCAGGGGGAACAAGGTGCAAAGAGTGTCCAGGTGCTGGGGGCACCGCAAAATACAGAGAGCGGTGCGGTAGTCGTTACGTGGATAGGAGGGGCTGGGAATGGGTGGGGAGCTGGGGTCGACACCAGAGGGACACCCGGCAGGCAGCAAGGACGAAGGATGAGTCTTGAGGAGCAACAAGGAGAGAGACGGAGAAGACAGCTCCTAGGAGTGCATAGAGGTCGGGAGAGATGATGGGAAGCAGGGAGGCAAGGGCGAGGAGAGGATGCAGGGCTGGATGGGGTCGGGCCGGGGACAGAAGTTGGGGGTCCGGTATGCAGGTCGAAAGGTGGGGCCAGATGACAGGAAAGCAGAGAGGGTGGGGTGGGGGCAGGGAGACTGTGGAGAAGGAGGTGAGGAGGCTGGAGAAGAGGTGAGAACGCCGCGGGGGCAGGGATGCGGAGCCGGGGAAGAGGAGATGGAGGGGGACCGAGGTGGCTGCGAGCGCGCGGCCTCGCAGGTGCCCGCCGGGGTCGCCCCGCTGCACTCACCTGGGGGCCTCCAGCTCCGGATCCCACGACCCGCTCCGGATCTTCCTTCCCGCCCTGCCCTTGCGACTTCAGCACCCCCGAATCCCGCTCCCTCCGGCAGGTTCCGCCCGCAGCATCTTCACCTCGTGGGACGCCCGCGGCCACGCCCCTAGCGACCTACCATTGGCTACGACTCACGCCAGTCATATTCTCCCTGGCGGTGACCAACGGAGTCCAAGCAAACCGTGCTGCTCCCGCCGACTCGTCGATTGGCTGGCGCGCGGAGTCAGAATCCTGGGACTCGGGTTCTCATTGGCCGCGCCGTCTTGACGGAGAAAGTGACGCGAGGCAGGCTCTGTGCGGAGGGAGCGGTGTCGCGCAGGCCGGGGCTCCTCGCGTGGGTGGCGTCGGATTGGGCTACCCCCTCGGCCAGCGCTGGGCCCACGAGACCTCGGGTTCCGCTGGACACCGGTCGCCCGATCGCTGGATCCTCGGTGCGGGACGCCTTCCGAAGCGTGGATCCGGTGCCGGTCTCCTAGGTAACGCGCCAGCGGTGGACTGAACCAAGTGCGGGGGAAGTCAGCGTGTGTTGGAGGCGCGGGTGGCAGCAGAGCCTCGAAGAGGCCTCAGCGTCCCGGGTGGGGCCGTGCATATTTCATCTCATAGACGACCCGGTATTCTTAAAGCACAGCACGGAGCACAGGGACTGGTTCTGGCTCGCGTGGGTCGCATCGTGTACCCCTCGCATCGCCATTGGTGCGTCCCGGTTGCCAGATGAAGTTGGGCGTCTGGGTCTCCATCGGTTAGTCCTCTGTCTTCTGACCCGGTGCTCGCAGCAGTCCGGGGCTCAAACGGATGCGGGGCGCTCGCCAGAGCCTTAAAGATTCCCACGGCCTGGTGTGCGCGTCTCTTTCCCAGTCCTAATCCGTGCAGCCCGCTCAGGTTCCTGCGGCCCTCGAGGCACTGGGAGGCCCCTGGCCCTGTCCATGTCCAGCCCTTGGGGCGCAGGGTCGGCCTTCTCCACGGCGCGGAATTGCAAACCAGGCTGCTGTCCCAGTGTGTCTAGTCCTGCCGTGGTCGGGGGAGATGCTCTCGTGGCTCAAGTGGAAGTTCGCGCTGAAAGTAGCATTGCGGGGTTAGGGGACGGCCAAGCTCTCACTGTTCCAACCCTGGTCTCATTTGCAGTTTCCATGCGCCATAATTCAACCTTGTGCCCCCAAACTGCCCTAGCACTATCTGGCTCTAGTGCTTGTACCCAGGGATCTGTGAGATTATCCGCTTTGTGGATAGACCATGTCTTTAGTCCCATAGCAGAGGGTGGATGAGGGCATGCCGGGCATCCCTTTATCAGACTTACATACAGGTCAGGTCAGCCAACCCCCCCCTCACACAAGACGTCTCGTTCTTCTTTTCTGGGAGGAGGCTTCCCTGAGCCTGCCACCACTGTGAAATTCCAGCCTCTCTGGTTTCCTCCCCCGTCACTTGTAAATGAGTCTTGGTCGTGATCGCGCTGTGTGATGCATTACCCCCCTCCCCCCTTTCCTCCCTCATTTCCGTTTAGTATTGCTGTTGGAGTTGACCTTTTGTCTCTGGAATGCACCAGGTGTTAGCAAACATTTATTAAGCAGACCTGCGGAAACTAAGAGCCTAAGACTCCATCCAAAGCTTTCATCTTGCAGGTTGGAAGCAGGCAGGGAAGCTGAGGATCTCCTCAGAAGCTGAGTCAGAAATGGCCCTCATCCTTGGTCATCTCCACCCAGGGCTCTCGCTGTCCCCTTGCAGACATCTTGCCCCCCTTGGCTTCTCCTGGCTTCCTGGGTGAGGAGGAGAGTGCCGTGGTGTGGACTAGCCACTGTCAGCTGTGAACTCCAGCCTGAAGCCCAGCCTCTGTGTAGGGTAGACTGTGGTGACTGCCTTCCAGTTGTTTGAACATGTGGACAGTTGTGCCCGACTCAGCTTGGGCTTCAGTAGCCGCTGGCTCATTTTCCTGTCCTCTGTAGGGAGGCCATGGTACCCTTTTCCTGGGTTCAAATATGGAATCTGCCCAGTTTTCTTTCTAATGTTATTCCTTCCAGTGGACCTTTGTTTCCTTTCTCCAGGCCTTTCTGTTATGGGTGTTTGTAGGGTGTGAGCCTGGCTCTGGCGGCCCCAGTGTGTAATCGTTGCCAGCCCAAGTGTGGCAAACATGGCTAGGGCAGGCTTTGCCCTTCTCCCAAATGCCCCCCTGCTTGCTAAAAACCATTAGATTAATTTACTAAAGCTAGCCCCCAAGGTCTCTTCCCTTATTTGGCCACTTCTTCCTCCTGACACTGACTACCAAGGTCCAGCTACCAAAGTGTTGAAGTCCAGCAATCAGAACTCCCTTTGGCTCACCTAATTAACAGGCCCAATTAAAATTAAACATATCCTAACACAGTTTCCACATTTACCCTTATAAACTGCCATATGTGTATGGGCCATGTCTATCTCCTCTCTGTCCACAGGCAGTCCTTTGTTGTCTGACCCACCTCCCCACATTTGTCAGGGACAAATATCCCTTACCCCTCTCCCTGTTCCCTTCCTATTCTCCCTCATCCTTTATCTCCCATCTTTGTCTCTTATCCCTGCCATTTGTCCTTCTGGGGCAAATGAATTTCCTTTGTGCTGAGAACACTGGTTAAAGAGATACATAATCGTGGAAAGCAGAGAAAGATGTATTCAGTGTGGCTACCCTGGGAAGAAGAAAGGTCATCTTAGGAGCACTAACATGAAGTTTAGGCATAAACAGAGCAGAAGGTCTGTGTAACTAAGCAGTCCTGGTCAGGGAGTACTTAGGTCCTGTCCATCACTGACCCATCCTTGTCTGTGCTCCTCCTGCAAGGTGGTCTGGAAGTCGGAATTGTGTGGAGTCTCTTCTTCCCAGGGAACAAGTTTGTCCTCTGTCACCTAGGCTTTGACTTTCCCTTCCCCCAGCCTGGTGCACCTAGGGAAATTTTACTTCTTGAGGGTTACTGAGTGTCTCTTTAGACTATCTTCTCTGCCAGGGCAGTTCTATTTCTTTCAGTTACTGACAGATTCTCTCCAAGGACTAGTGCTGACTCAGGGAGTTCACAGCCCTTCCAGGACTGCATTCAGCACTCAGCCCTGGATGATGTTTCTGTAGAGGGCTGTGGGGAGGCGGGGCCCCCCAGATCCCCACTGTGAACATGACAGGCAGTAGAGTCAGCAAGGAACAGGCAGATCATGGGAGGGTAGGCTAGTGCTTGGATGCTTTTCAAAGCTTGTGGACTGAGGATACTAGCCTGAGAAGGGCCGGGGCTGTGTGAGGACTTAACGTCCGGAGAGCTCTCCTCTCCAGAAATGCTCAGGATGCTCTCAGGTATGGATTCTCAGGGAGCCCATACCTGTTTGAACTGGAAAGCAGAGAATAGCCTCTGTCCAGGAAAAAGGCCAGCCAAGCTCCTCTCCATTGCAGCTCCGTTTGGTTATGTGATTTTTCTTAAGTTTTCCTGTGGAATGCCTGGCAAGGCCTTGGGAGGGACAGTTCGTTGCCTTCTGCCAGGAGCTGGCCAGAAAGCAACCATAATGAGATAGGCAGCAAGTGCTGTCACCAGCAGAAACACAGTTAGGGCCATCTGGGAAGTCCCTCGCCCCCAACAGGAGGTGGCTCTGGAGTGAGTGTTGGCCACGGCTCTTTCACTAGTGAGCAACTCTGTGATCTTCCCATGCCACAATGGGATGTCACCAGATGCCAACAATGTTTGTTGCTGACCAACATTGATTCTCATCCAGTTCTTACTCTCAGACATGCAGAGTCTGTCTTCCTGAGGTCAAGGTGTGGGCAGGGCAGACCCTCTGGGGCTACCAGCTGAGGATGTCATTTCTAGCTCATGGAGGCACCTACATCCTGTGATAACTGGCTTCTCTTTCCTCTGGAGTCCGTGGCCTGTGCTGTTGTCCTCTGTTATTTCCAAGCCTTTTGCCTATCTCTCTCAGGTACCTGTGCATACACCAGACTCTCTGGATGGCCCAGCACAGCCTTCACCATCCTGTGCAAAATCTTGTTTGATGTGAAAAGTGTTCCCAGGCTCCCGGGATTGGGATGAGAGTGTTGGAGACTGTTAGTCAGCTTGCCAGGAAATTGGACTCAGGGAGGAGCAGGATAGTCTCTGGATTTCCCTGTGGTACCTGAGTGTCTCTTGGGATTCTGGGCTAGTCTCCGGCAGCTTCTAGCTGTGCAGGAATGCCAGTCCAGGCTGAGTCTCCCTGGGGAAACTTCGACTATAGGGGGGAATAGTGGGGAATCACCTGGTTCCCTCTGACTGGATTGGAGGTGGCCCTCCTCATGCATGGAATGGGTCCTTTTACAAAGAACAGGGGTGGCAGGTCATCCTGGTAGCCTGGCACATCCACACGGAGATGGGTGGCTTCAGATGACTGAGGGGTGCCTGGTTTGTAGGTGTGTCCCAGGGGAGGCTAGGACATAGCCAGGAAGCCTGAGGTAGGGCTGAGTGGGGAGACTGACAGTCTTGTCCTTTTCTTTCCTCATGCACTCTGTGGGCGTGGAGGAGTGACCCCTTAGAGTTCATGAGGACCCTGGCAGACTTTAGTGTCTGTGATTTCTGTCTGTCCGTGTCCACTGCATGAGAAGTCAGAACCCAGAAGCATCAAGACACTAGATATTTTTAAAATGGCAGCAGCAATCCTGATTGCATGAACACAAGAAAACCTTTCAAATCGCCTTGTGCTCGTGCCAATGTCTTCACTGGCTTAGGAGAAGACAGTTTGTTCTCTGTGCTTTTGCGTCTACTTCCTCTGCTGTCTTGCTTGGCTGAAGCCCTTATAGGAAATCCAGCCCCCGCCGGGTAAGGGGCGGCCAAGGCGTGTGCTCTCGGATGTTACCCTCCCCTCCCAGCATCGGTGTTTCTGGTTTGAGACAGGGTCTCTCTCTATAGGTCTGGTTAGCTTGGACTGGCTGTGTAGACCAGGCAGGCCTGAACCTGTCCTAATCCTCCTGCGGTCTCCCAGTGGCTGGTATTATAGGTGTGTGCTGCCATGCCTGGTGCTGGGGGTGAAACACGGGGCATGTGCTCGCCAGGCAAGCCCTGTGTGGTCAGTTTCTCACAGGCTGTTTTAAGGTGGAGTCCCGGCTCACCAACTGACTTCTTACACACT